TGTCATCGAGTTTAAAGCTATTGAGAACACCCTAAATCGCGTACACGATTTCTATATAGGGGCGGTTAATTGAGATTTCGTCAAAACTGTAATATTATAATACGCATTACCATCTTTTACGATCGACAGCATAATTCTATAAATGACCATTCTATTTTCCGTATTATCCGTTACATAGAGGTTATTTCTGTTATGTGTTACTGTTAACATTTTATATCAGTGGATTAATACGCAGAAAGTTGATATTATACAATAAATCTTATTAAAATCGATTTTTTTCGTGAGTTAAGCATTACTGAAATTGTATTGTGATAGTATTTTTTTCTATCGCAAACCAGGATATATCTAGGAATATTTATAAGTTATACGTGTTCGTTTTATTTTTAGTTTTTATACTTTTTTCTTGAAATTTTAGTTCGAGTTATATTGAGTATATCTATATATAAACCAAATGCCACTCACAGATCACCACTGCATTTAAAAAATTACCGATCTATCAACTTGCAATGTGACATAGTGGTTCCACTTAAATTCTAGATAAGTAATAGGAAAGGATTTTCCTACATTCAACCCTTAAAAAGTAAAAAGGTTAAAAGAGGTAAAAACGAAAAGTGGTAAATATGAAAAAAACTACCTAGCCTAGAAAGGAGGTACAATAAAAAAAGGCATAAAATATTAACTGGACATTCATACAAAATTAAAAAGTTAAATGTAATTAATATAACACAAGAGATTCAATTCGTCTCAATGTTAATAAGATAAATAAATAAGAATCCGTTTAAAAAAAAGGCAAGTACTACTTACTAATTCGTTAAATTCCAAAAACAACATAATGTATGAAATTAAATTTTAATATAGTGGTCTCTCCAGTACTCTAAACTTACAATGTGAAAGGATTTTAAGAAATATTGGCTCCGACAAAGAAGGTTTACGATGCACAGTCGAGTAATCATGCGTACAACCAAAACTACCATACCGATTCATTTTGAAATTTCGTTTTATTTGTTATACAACCGAAAGTTACTCCAAACAAGGCTAAAAAAATAGTCCTTACACTAATAATTTATTAAAAACTATGTCAAAACTATTCCGTGCAAAGTCGGGTAATTCAGCTAGTATACACCGAAAAAAATATTGGTGGTAATAACAATAATATAGTATTGTCAAGAGTCAACAGTGAGTATCTTGTTGCGAGAAATATTTTCTTGTAAGGTAAACAATATGTCTTGTTAAAATAATATTAAGTATTATCAATATAACAAAAAACAGGAACAATATTTATAGACTACTAAAATTGGATGAATCATTTTGAAACATACTGTATCTTGTTAATACGACAATAATATAAAATTGATTAGACATAGTTTTAATTTTATGATAATTATAATACAATTTATAATATTATCTTGTGAACCCTAAATAACCGCCATCGGTTCATTATCTGCGTTATCTTCTCGCATTGTACGATTACGCCTCACAAGTTGCACTTATCGTTCATTTTTGAAGTTCTATTAAAAGTTGTCGGTGTACCGTGTGTCATATTTATTTAAAAAGTTTGTGATTTACCTTTTCATTTAAAGCTACGTTCATTCGGCTTTTGCGAATTGTGTTTGTAAAATTGTTTGACAAACGACTTCGCTGGACTATTACACCAAAACCTCATGGTAAGAAAATGATTTGTTATTTGTGTAATGTTAACGTTGGTGATATGCAAGCTTTGGTGGTGCATTTTAAAATTATTCATTTCTTGAAATCGGACGGTTCTTATAGATGCTTGGAAAATGCTTACTCTCAGTCGTTTAACTGCTTATCTTCATTTAAAAGGCATGTAAATAAAAAACACATAATTAGTGATGACGTTTTGCAAAATATATTTACTTAAAATATTAATGTAGAAGTATCCAAAAAAATTAAACTGAGTTATGACCCAAGTTTAGATTTAGAAGAAACTTTTCATGATAAACTTACAGATAATTTCAATTTTGAAAACTCAACTAAAGTGTTATATGAATCAACTGTGAAATTTATCTTAATTATTTACAACAACAATAATTTTAATATTAGTGATTTTCACTACATTCAATCTGGTGTAAAAGAATACATTTTAAAGCCAAAGGCTCATTTACTTAAAAATGTAGTTAATAAAGATATTAAAGAACCCAGATTATTATAAACTTTTAACCGATTAGAAACTGTAATTTTAAATCCTTTTATTTACTGTTCTACAGAATACCGTTTAAACAAATGGTTGATTGATAATAAACTCTTGTCAAATATCCAACAGATAAATATTAATAATGAGCTAAGTGCTGTAAGTCATGGATGTGAAATTTATTACAATGAAAAAATTACCAAAGGGACTCTTTTGCTACTAAAATTACAATTCAAGCATTTTTTTGAAAAAAGCAATAACTTTAAAATGATGTATGACCGTCTTTTAAGTTTAAAAGCATCTCGGCATGTTCTTTCAAATTTTGTCCAAGGAAAATTGTGGGAAAAAAAATAACTCAATTTGAGGGAAAAATTGTTTTTCCATATTTTATTTACATTGATGATTTTGAGATAAATAACCTTTTAGGATCTCATGCTACTTACCAGTTAATTGCTGCCATTTATTACAGTTTTCTACTTGTTGAAAACAATTCAAAACTATCAAATATATTTTTAGCAACACTGATTAAATCTGCAGATCTTAAAGAGTTTGGAAATGACCTATGTTTGTTACAATTAATTAATGAAATTAATTTTCTTAAAGAAAAAGGACAAAGTATTTCAACAGGATATGGTGAATTTCATTTATATTTTATGCTTGATTTAGTATTGGGTGATGATTTGGGACTCAATAGTATACTTGAGTTCAGTAAATCGTTTTTATCAAATTATTATGGTCGATTTTGTAAAACATATAAAAGTATTGCCCAAAAGCTTTGTGTAAAAAATATATTATGTATGCGTAACAGAATAAATTATTCAGATGATGTGGCTAAGATGGATTTCAATGAAACTGGTATTAATAAAAATTCAATTTTAAATTCAATAAAAAGTTTCCATGTCAATGAAAATTATTATGTGGATGTAATGCATGATGTGTTTGAAGGCATTTGTCACTATGATATGTGTCATATCATTAAATATTATGTTTATACTGCTCAAATATTTTTATTATATATAGTTGAAGTTGATAATATTTCATCTGAAATATCAGTAAATCATTTAAACAAATGTCATTTGAAAATGTCTGCGAAGGAGATGATGTCATTTATTCATTTTTTCACAATTGTGGTTGGAGATTTAATTCCTGATGACGATGAAGTGTGGACATTTTTCTTAAACCTGTTAAAGCTCACTGATTTACTTCTCTCATATAATTTTACCGAAGGCAAAATTATGGACCTTAAACAAATAATAAGTCAACATAACTCAATGTATATTAGACTGTTTAACGATACTTTAAAACCCAAACACCACTTTTTAATTTACTACCCAACTATTATTCATTACTCTGGGCCCCCTAGATTTTATAAGTGTTTTAAATACGAAAGGAAACATAGAAAATTAAAAATGTATGCTCGAACTACAACATCCAGGAAAAATATAACTTTGTCTTTAGCAAGAAAATGCCAGTATAAGTTTGCTCACATCCTTTTACAATCCAGTGCTCAAGAAATCATAATAAAAGAATAGCACAAAATACATAGTTTAAATTCAGATAATATATGCAAAATTCTTTCTCTATCATCTGTTGATTTTTGTTGTTACAACCAATTAGAATTTATGGGAACAATTTATAAAAAAGGATATTATATGACAAAATTTATGGAAGAGATGAAGTTGTTTGAAATTATAGGAGTAATATTTTTTAATATACCGGGTAAAAAAATTTACACTCCAGCTAAGCAAATTAAGATTATCAACTTTAATTCACACTTTGAAGCATTTGAGGTAGATTGTGATAAAACTGTTGTTGAAGATTGTGTAATTTATAATGTAGACGAATTTAGTGGACCACCAATTAACATAACACCATCACCATCAGGATAATTAATGATTCGCCTTAAAGAATTTTTTTTAACATTTATATACTCATGTACCTACCTACTTATTGTAAATATTATGCTTTTCAAATATAGATTACTTACATACTATACATATATATGGTATAATGTTTAATATTATAATATTATAATGTATAATATTTATTGTATAATGAAGCAATTTGAAATTTGTGACAACTTACAAGAATCTTTACAATCAAATAATGAAAATAATAATTTTGCAAGTATTTTTAATTTTTAACTTATAAATTTGTATGAATCTCATATTTTTCTCTGCATTCTTTTAGTTCCTGCAATGGTTTTAACATGCTATACTTACTATAAACAAATATAGTTAATCATTGTTTGTATATTAATAGAGTTTAGATCCAGAATATTCTGCTATTGTAATGCCACTAGTACCAGGGTAAATCTATCCAACTGAAGATCTTCAACCTCTACTACACTTGCTCAATGATTGGGGATTGGAATGCGTTTATCAAACATTGCTTGGTTAGTTAGTTAAAAAACAATAAAATCATTGTTTATTATAAATTATTACAATATTTTTGACAATATTCTATACATTTTTTTTAGCTGAATCAATAGATCTGAAAGTGATGAAATTGTTAAAAGATGAAGATTGTAAAGAATTATTGAATACATTTCTATTAACAATTCGAGTTTTGTTCATTAATAATTTAGAAAATTGGAAAAAAAAGTTTACCTGAAAATGGAAATATTAGTAGTACAATTCCACAAAATACTCCTATCACAAAAACATTTCAGCAACAAAAATCTGTAGTTCATGATATGGGTTATATTGATATGGGTGTCATATTGAACGCATCAACTACTGGTGGAATGATATTAGATTATTATAAAACTAACAATAGGTTTAATAATAATATTAGATCATTATTAGTAGATGTCATAATTAGTTACATCAATATCAAAAAAGTCACTATGATGGTCAATTTTGCTGATTTTACTGGTGATCAAATAATTTCTATGTTTCCATCAGAAGTAAAAGTAAGTTATAGAAGTAATAAGTAATTACATAACTGGTACTAATAATAATTGTTTAAAAAATTAATTTTAGGATACATATTTTATGGAGTACAAATCAAACAAGAATCCAAAAGGAAAACTTTACTCAAAGTTTTATAATTTCATGAGGTTCTTAAAATCAACTGGTCTTGTTACATCAAATGTAAAAAAATTTTGATAAGCCCATTAGTCATAAACATAGTATAGATTTTGGTAAGATATTTTTAACTCACTGCCTAGGGGCTAGTACTTATGATGTATTTTTACTTAATACATTTGTGATATGCATCAGAACCAGAAAAAGATGATTGTTGAATAAAAGTTGTCAACATTAACAATAGGTACCATACATATATAATATAATACCGTATAATACCTTTCAAAGTAATTTACAATTTCTAATATATAATACCTTTTGCTAATTCCGTAAATTGAACCTTGTCAAGTTTTATTATCTTTTGTATATATACAATATATAAATATTTTATAATAATCTATTAAAAAATAATTTTATCACTTTATCTTATTTGATTTTATAGCATATAATTTCTAACTGGTGACTATACCGAGCATACGACTATAATATTCTAATGAAATATAAATAATAACGCAGAACAACGGCATGTGAGTTGCTATAAAATACCATATATGTATAATATGTGACTACGACCTAACCTCTGATAATAATAATATCTGATATATATTCCCAAGTATATTTTATTTTTATTGAAGTGTCGGGAAAAAAAAATGAACAAGTTGCTCGACGCTCGATTTAGTCACGGACATGTTATTGTTATACAGTACAATTAAAGATGTTCAAAGTCAATTGCTGCTGAAAATATTTTATTAACCTCGAGCTTCGGCTTATATCAAAGGCTCGTTTATAAGGCTAAATAGTTTATTCATTAAATTCATTATTGACAGTAGAATGTAGAGTGCAGTTGTTGTTAATAATTGTCATAAACTTTTTCCATTACAAAACCATTGATGATGATGATATAGATTATTAATTTTAAGAAGTTTTAATATAGATAAATTTTTAATCTAAAAAATGCAAAGGTCCGCGTAAACAGTCATTCAACTAACACAAAGTTATTTCATTGGATACCAATACACATTTTTTGTACGCACATATATTATTCCAATAAATTATATACTAAAACATTAATGTCAAATTATTTATTTCAACATAAAATGTTTAAACTATACTTTGAATAACCTTTTAAAAACGATTGAATATTTATATGAGCGTAAAATTGATAAGAAATCAGACACTTGAAGTATGGTATCTTAAGTTCCGAATAAAGCAGTATACAAAATTACGAAGACATATTTGTAATTATGTGATAATCGTTGGTCACTTGATCGGTATATGTGTATAGCCTACATTTGTCGTAATAATAAAATTGTTACAAGTAATCACAGCACGCCCGAGTGACTCGAATAAAAAAAATGAAATAAAATCAATTAGATACTAATTAAATCGATATATGCAAATGATTTCTTTTGAGTAAAATAAAAAATACAACGTTTAAAGTACAATTAATTATTATGTCTGAGGCACCTACTACATACCAGTTATGAACCGTATATCTACCACGTTGTATCAATATAAAAATTAATTCAATTACACACAATGCCGACAAAATGATATCATGTACTCGTATACGCGTGTAATTCACGTCCTAGGAGAAACGCAGTGCGTCGGGTGACATGAAGAGCTCATCGGCTTGTAATAGAAACATAATGTTTTTCCGCGAAAACTTCAAACACGTAATTTAGGGGGGAGGTAAAAGCGATCCTCCCCTCCCAAACATTTATTTTAATAATCACGAATTAAGATGTACGATATATAACAATTTGTTGGACATTATTTAAGCCTCAATCATTTTGAAGATGGTTAATCTCCCCTCTCATCACAGCACAAAATAAGCGTACATTTAATGTGTCTGGATTTCGAACAACACGATTTAGGTGAGTTCGCGGCAAAATAGAAAATAAATGGAATTTCAACTACCACGCGCGTCCTTGTTCGCTATTCCTTATCTGTAACAACATTTACAATAGTTACGATCAATATAATATGGTAGACGAGCACGGGCCTCGGCGTGTCGGGCATACAGTGCTTAGTGCCATGGGTAGGGTCGGTGCAACTAAATAATGCGACCTGGGCGAAACTTCAAAATACGCCCTTAAGTATTTTAATTTATAAAAAAAAACTCACAAAGAAACCGAATATTTTTTATAGATGTAATATAAATAATGATTTTTCCTTATAATTACGTAAACGTAATTTAATTGTATTCAAATCAATAACTTATTAAAATATAAATATACATAATAATCATAAGTATAGTTCATAGGTTTAACGTGATAATATTTATAAGTCGTATAAGTAATTACATGAATGCACAATATTGCTTTTAGTTATAAGTAACAGTTAAATTGGAAATTTTTCATTTTCGCGCCCGGAGCACAGGCACCTTGGTACCCCCCATGTTACGGCCTTGGTCATGGGATACGAGTCGCGCGACGTCGGCCGAACGAATCGAACGTTTTTTAATTATTACTAATTTTTCTCTCTGTGAGTGCACTTAAAACGTGGGGACGAGGTGTAGGAGGAAAACGATCCGAGAGCATGTGCGTGTGCATACCGCGCGGTGTCATACATTTCCCGTCGCCGACGGAATCGCGACCGAAAATTTCTTCCCAACAGCCGCGTACACGGTTTTTTTTTTTAGCTATTGTGAGAACTGTCGTCGAGGGGAAAATCTCGCGCCGGATTTTTTGTTTTCGTATTTTTTTTTGCCCCTCCCTCGACACTGCGCTTTTTCACGTAACACATCGTTGGTACTCCATTGCAATCGTATTGCACACGGGGATCGCGTCTATGTTGCCGCATTCCGATCCGGCGCTGTTCGTCGTCCCACGCACGCGGGCGACGTACGCGGACGAGATCGCAATAAATCCATCCGTTGGCGACACGGTCGATTCGGACGAGGAACAAAAAAACGACAATAGATCGAAAAAACCGACGGGCAGACGACGTGTGCGCATTCGTACCGTACATGTTATTATTATTAACATGGCATTCGCCTGTACATGCATAGAACGCGGGTGTGTACACGTGCGAGACGTAAACAAACGTTACGACGACGGGAAATAAAAAATATTATAATAATCGCGCGCGAATACGGGCCCGTCTACGAGACGATAGAATAATGAATCATTGTTAAAGATAATTCACACGACTGGTTTTCGTAAAATATTGTATCTGAAACGGTTCTCAGCTGCAAACCGCCGAAACGTCGTCGTAACGACGTTGGCGGGGGAGATGTTAATTTTAATCGTTTACACACGTTATCGATGGCGTAGCGAATAAGTGTGATAAGTGACGTCTTCGTAATTGTTCGGGAGAATGATTTTTTTAGTTTGAGCTGTTCAAAAATAATTCGAAAACGTAACGAAGAACTTATCGTTATATTTTCCTTAACGTGTAATGAGTGATGAGGATTAAAAAATCTGAAACTACCACGTTTGTATTCTTAAAAAAAATATTGTACTCAACACATTTTGTACACGTAAATAGTAATACTTAAACTCAGGGCCGTAGCAAGGGGGTGGCGAGAGGTGCCTATGCCCCGGGCGCAATTCCCGGAATAACGTAAAAATGAAAATCTTGCATTTAATGTTAAAAATTACAACGGTCAATGTAGTATATTTTGTTTTCCAAATTTTTAACATCCTTCATATTAATTAAAACAATCATTGACAAATAACATCTAATAAGCATAATATTTTTAAATTAAAAATACATAAGGGCACATTATGAAGTTTCACCCCGGGCGCAATGTTTGGTTGCTACGGCACTGCTTAAACACATCACACTTTTCTTCTAATCTCGATAAAGAATAACAATTACTTGTTATAATTTCGTTAGTGCATAATGTACAGAATTTTATGATTAAATTGAATATGCACTCCACTAATTTTTCAAAAAAAATTCACTTATCACACTTGTGCGCTACGCCATCGATATTTGGTTTTTCACGCCGTAAACGTAAAAATTAATGTCCGCGCACAAGTCGCGGCAAACGACAGACGAACGAACTTGCGTGGCGAAAGTACACTGGAGTTGAATGGTCAAATTGAGATAGTAAATCGAAGAAAGCGGGGGTGACGTGAAAGGAAAAGGAATACAAATAAAACAATTTATAAGAACGTATCGATCTGATTTAAATGCAAATGATTTCTCTTGAGAAAAATGTTGCGTACCTGTCCAAGTGTTTTTATATTTCATGTAAAATTATGCTAGCAATGAACTGTGTACAACGTTAATTTCAAAACCGATGGTTATTGTCTGTTGTGTTTAGATGACGTGAAATAATATTATAGTGGCACGCGAATACGGTTATCGGTCACCAAGACGACGGAATAATAAAGAATAATGTTATTACATATATATTATTTCTCCACCGTAAATGTCGTCGCGTGGTACGAAAAATAAAAATAAAAATACCCGAGGCATTAAAAAATATAGTCGTTAACACGTTATTGCGCTGCTTTTGTCGAATACGTGTTAACATATCCGTGTACGAATCGCAAACGGACGGACGGACGGACGTAAATCTCTTAAATTTTATCTTCCGTACATATCGGCTGTATAACACGTTTCGCCATGGACTTTTTACCCGGCGTACGTATACAATTTTTTACGCGTAAAATCATATTAAAATATAATATGTGTGTAATTTTAAGCGCAATAAATGGTCAACCATGTATACTTTATCGAATATAAAATATGCACGTATATGTAAATATACTGGTGTACATACATCCTTTCCGTCGCCCCTCTCCCCGTTCAATTGCTGACATTTATAATAAGCAACGCGGAATGACTGCATCTAACGAGTTTTTTTTTTTTTTTGGAGAAGTAAAAATCTCTTTATCGCATTCGACTTTAATGACTATGTACACACTACAACCTTGTACATGTACATAAATATATATTTGTGTGTGTGTATATGTACATGTATATACGCACCACCGGTTCCGGCAAAATGTAGTCGTCGTACACATATAAATATAAGTAGTGTATTTCATAAAAATATTTATATTTTTTTTTTAGTTATGCTCTTTTTCACAATCATTCGTACGTAAGAAAGTTAAGATTTAGAGGTACATTCAATATACTGTCTTGAAAACAAAAACATTCAAATCAAATATAAATTGACTAAATTAAAGGGGTGTGTATTTTCGATTTCATCATCGAAAGTAACATACGCATTATTAATCATTATCATTGATTATAATTTATAAATACTGTATACTAGTATTTATAATCTATGTCGCGATCATAACACAATCGTGTTATTATTTCAGAAAATTAAGATAATCATAAAAATGTGAAACTTTAATTTCTAGCAAAGAAATATTATTTAAAATTAACTTAACTGACATGACCAGTAATATATATTCTCCATAGGAAGTAAATATTTTGATTGAAAAAATTTGACAAACGAATTATTTGATAAGATTTCAAAAATGTAATTTCTTGAAACGTATTCGTTAAGAACCTGTAATAATATAATAACATTAATGGTGCGTTTTACTTGATTTACCACGGGATGGTTGAAATTCACTTCTTACCTAAAAAGAAAAAAAAATGGTCGAACTGCACACGTTCAAAAGAGGAGTTAAAATTTAAGCTACTTTCTACTATAAACATTCAGATATATGTGCAAAAAAAGTAGTTTTAACCATATTGTTGGATATAGCTAAATATTTTTTGTATATAAGAAGCGTACAAGAAAAATGTTAGGTTTTCACTATACACGTATTCAAATCATTTTCATACAACGTTATTCTTTTAAGTGTTGTGATAAGTTCCGATGGATATACATAATGTTTACAAATAATAATCTGTGAGATCTATTATTTGTTTTTAGAAAGAAAGTACATTTTTAAAAAATAGAAATAAGCAGAAAGCCAAATTATACATCAAAGAAAAAAATGTAATGCCCTTGGTAAACCATTTGACTAGCACGTTGTTATTACACGAACCCGACGATCCAGTAGCATTTCTCAAACTCCAGGTGGAAGATATGATTAATTTTCGAGACCATCAGGGCAAACCACCAATTCTGTTCAAGAAAGACCATTTAATAAACGTTTTTAAGGGTGTTGACTATTTAAATATTGGTTCGATTGATTTGAAACAATACTTTAAAGGTGAGTTTAACCATTATCAGCATATACTTATGTGTTTAAATACACTTTTTAATTGATCTTCGGAAATTTAATTTTTATTAAGTATTTATAATTATTTCACAAACTGATGTGTCTAATCTAAGAATTTAAGTAGTATATTATGAATGTAAATTTATTAATCAGATGGTATTTTGAGAAATTGGTTTAAAAAACGTTTTATTACGTACTTTAAAATGTTTAATTATAACAACTATTTAGCTATGAATATGCTGGGATTGAATGAAAACGATTTCAATAAAAGTCCACAAGTAGTCGAAAACAATAGAATTGAATGTAAAATATTCGTGAGTGAAGCGTGAGTATAAATATTTGTACATATTATATTTAAAAAAAAGAATATAATAAATTTATCATCGAATAGGCACTCTGTGCCAGTGTGTAGTAAGTTTGCACATGGTATTGTAATGATATTCACACTATTACACTCTAAAACTTAAAAATCAAAAATCACCATAAGAAAATAACCAAAGTTTTAAAATTAATAAATGTATAATAATATTAAATATTGTTCATTCTTCAAATTTTGAAGAATGAACAATATTGACAAAACATTATCTACCGTCATTTGCAGATCAACTTAAAATGTTTGATATTTTATATTATTTATAGTTTTTAATTTTGTTAATACTATAATCGTTTATTTGTTCGTATATTTATTGGAATAGCAGTTTGAAGTGTCTATGGACAATAATGTCTAAAGTTTATGCGCGTAAAACAGTCAATAATAACTTTTGTTGTCACGGCTGCACATGGTCTATTTTATTATAGTTAATAATTATTGTTAACTAGGGGCCGTCGGTGGTCATTAATTACACTTGTTGATAAAAATAAAAATAAATTAAAAAAAATACCGTAGGATATCTTTCGGCCACCTTTTCTTCGTATTCATTTTTAATATATTGTCTTATAAACAATCGATGATTACATTGTACACTATAATATTATTTAATACGTCCGTCGCCCATTATATTTTATAAACTAGGTCGATTCATTACTTTTTATTTCATGCTTGGACGTACTTATAATTGTATTAATGTCGATCAAAACATATTGAATTTAAGTAGACAATAAAACAAATTGACAGTTATGGACTTATTATTTACCATCAGAATTCCTTAAGTGTAATTTTTAATCATCCCTACATCATCCTAAATTATTTTATACATCATGATTGTTTATACACACGAGTATAATTGTTTTATTGATAGTTTTAAATCTTATTTTTAAATTTCTACTAATAAATAATAATACAAATTATAATTTATAACTTGGCACTAAAAAAACAAAACGTTTCATTGTCATAATTATGTATATTTTATGTTTCTGAACTCAATGATTATAGAATACAAACGATTCTAAACAATATTTTATAACTGAATTTTAAACATACTTTTTATAATTTTGATTTTGGACCATATAACAGTTACGTTCTTGTTCGCAAAGTATACATATATGTTATATGTTAACGTTGTATGACTGAAAAAACGTTAGCAGTCTAATGCGATATGCGTTGTACTAAACAATCGTACGTTACTTTAGCTATGTTAGGGGATTGTTCTATTATCAATCAAATATAAACATTTTAGTTGTACACACATACTATTGCGATATCAAAAATAACATAATATAATAAACTTAATTATGAAAACTTGTGCATTAACGGTTTTATACGATGTTTTTATTCTATAGAACGTGTGCGTTAATAAAACAGATGAACACGATGATACTACCGCAGTAAACGTAATCGTAATAATGGACACGTGTACAAACAACATTAACCATGGAAGTATAATTTTTACTTTAGTGAGAAACTTTATTCTTTGGGAAAATAAAATAATAACGTTAATGGCTGTTTTTTTTTCAGCCATCTATCCGCACATATATAATCATATATCGTGTTTATGTATGCGCGTAATGGGTCCCTCGGGGTCTTAAAGGTTTACATCCAGCCGGTTGTAAAGGAAGGGATGGAACGTACACCAATTTTTTTTTCAGAGCACATTAGTACAGACGCGCGTCACATTTGAACGCATCGCGGGAATTATAAACCGTGGAACATTTCAACAATAAGATCAGTTTTCGAGGTGTACACCGGCAATCAAAACAAATTCAATTGTGCCGTTCGGTACACCCTTTTTATTCCTTATTTATTCGAACAAGATCTCCGCGTGTGTGGAGACGAGTGACCTAGTTCCCGAAACGATTATCTCAATTTGTCATGGTGAATTGGTGACCATTTCATTTGTGTACAGAACACGTGTACTTTTTGTATATACGTGTCAAGTCAACAATGCGACTTGACCCTAGGAAAAGGGTTGGCTTAGAGTTTTAAGCGGAACAAAATAAAAATCGTTCCTATATACCCGAGTGTACAACAAAAAATGTTTTATGTTGACCGCTCATTTTACGTACATACAACAAACTCCGTTGGTTTGAATGGACGGTTCTGAACGATGTGTGAAATCGTATAAAATCCTTACATATTTATGACCTGACATTTTAAAAACGTTGAAAAAAAATATTAATAACGAATAAAGTCTTGAATTGTAAGACCGACTTAAGACTAAATATAAAAGAAACAATTTTTACCTGTAAAATATTTCACTTTGGAAAAATATTCTTAAAAATTTGGAAATTTTTTGAAAATGTTAAAAATTATCGATAATTGAGTATAAATTTCAGCCAAATAATTTATATTTTATATTAATTATATTAATTATTATTTGCTTATATTATACCACATTTTATTTGTACCGTAAGAATTTTATTTAAAGTTATTAATGCTGCTTATATAATGGTATAATAAACCAATTTTAAATAGTAATAAAATACAAGATTATAATATAACTGTATAAATTATAGTTTCTATAGTAATTGATCGTTTGACTAAAAATATGTTATATAATTTGTAAACAGCTATTAACTACGTATTTCGATAATGATTCAATATAAGTTGGACTTATTAAATAAGTATATATAAATTAAATATTTAACCTATTATTTTATTATACGCAATACTTCATTTGAGTTTTAAATTGATTCAATTAATTACAATTTTTATAAATCAAATTGGTAACATTTTTTATTACTATCATACATTAGCTTTACTGACTTAAAATAAACTTTATTTACTGATTTCTGTAAGTGTAAGCTACTTGGAAAATATTAGCGATTATATTTTTCTAATTATGCTTTTTTACACGGTTTGATGTGGATGACGTAGGATTGTATGAAAATCTCAATTGAAAAAATATTCGACGGTACGGATTTGAATCCGTGACTCTTCACGTAATATAATAGGTTAGGTCACCGCGACTAATGTTTCCATTTGCGATTTTACACTTATGTAGTATCCACATTGTGTGTAGAGGACACACTATTCACCCTTGGTGAGGACCAGTATGAGTAAAACGCGGTATGTTATTTCTTCTTAACTTTAAATGGCTTGGTACATTCTTAAAGTTTGATTGTGAAACTTATTCGCACTATAAGAAATATTATATAGTATTTACAAGTGATATTTAAAATAAAAACATTTATAATTTCAACAAGAGTTTGGAGTAAAATTAAATCCATTCGTTTCTCATTTTATTAATTCTTTTAGTTTTTCCGTTACATATTATAATTGTTTTATGTAATAAAAGTTATATATTTTTGATAAAAAGCTACCAATTGTATGACTACTCGTTTATATGAGATAATTTCGATCTCATTGAAATACTATTCACTTTACTTAAACATAAACGAATATGCGAGTTTGTTGATTAAAAAAATTAACTGAGTGTGAAAACTATGGGCGAAACTTAACATTTTAATTAGTCTCTGCGTACGCCTAAAGTAAATTATCTCTCCCTCGATGTACAATAGAACTGCATTAATTGTGTTTTATTAACATAATAATTAATATTCTTACTATTGTGAAAATGGCGAAAGACCTTAATGGTCTGTTTCGTGCCTGTGAAGAAAAATATTCTAACTATTAAATTGGTAAATAACTCAAATAAAGAATTAACAATTTGTTAAAGATGCATTAATTGTAATCAATTTAGATAAAACTTATTTGGATCACGATTTACTAAGTCAGACTTATTTTACAGCATATAATTTGTACATAAACAAACTAACAAATATTTAAAGTCTAAAAACTAATTATGTAATATTTTATTGATCAAATGGAATATTATAACTCATATGTAAAATCCACTTGTATGTATTATACCATGTTTACTAAGGAAACATACATGATAAATATCTACCATCTATCAATTGGTTTATTTGATAAAGTAACGACCCAAGACCTCCTACAGATCTTATATGGACATTGATTTATTGAACAATTTATTTTATTTTAATCAGTTATTTTCAAATAAACGTCAATGTCTTGATACTTTTCCGCACAAAAGACTTTAAAAATATTGAATATATACAACGACTTTATTCAAGAATAAGTTTTTTTAATATATGTCTTTAATTATAAAATATAATGTTTAAATAAATTATTTTTTAACACCACATAGTCAAAATTAGAAATAAAAATCACATAAAACACTAGGACATATATACGTTTACCCTTTGCCGTGTTAGAAATATTAATTGTATATTTGAAAGCAACGATTAACTAAAAAAATGATTTTAAACGTATCGTGGTGTAGTGTTTACAGAATTGAGAGTATTATTTGGAATGAGGTCCGTGTAGTGAGGCCACATACAATTAGCAATTCATTTATTTATTTTCTTATTTTTACCATTGTTGCTAACAAATAATAACAAAATTCTAACAAATAATACATACTAAAGAAATACATATGTTTATTGTATTAAAATACAAGTAAAACATTTTGTTTTTCGAAATCATTTAGTTTGGATTAATGCTCTTTATATCGTATAAGGCAGAGGTTTCCAACCAGGGTGCCGCGGCACCCTAGGATACCGTGAACTTAAATTTAGGGTACCGCAAAATTATTTGAAGTATATATTTATTTTTTAAATGCCTTCATGAAAAATATAGCCCAATGAGTAATAAAACAGATTATGTATAATTAATTACGTATATACAATATAAAAAAATGTATTAGTTATATAACACATATAATTTTTACACAGTAATTCTGAGATGTTCAATCTATTATAATTTTCATACTGGTTCGATTGCTATCGATTTTATGTGAACTATTTTAAAGTTATTTACAGTGAAATACTTGTGTCTTTATCTTATCTTTATTGTTTATTAATTGCTAAATAAAACCGAGGTTACAAAATATAAATTTAAATATACGATATATTACTATTGTGTATTTAGTATATACTATAGAATATAGGGCATAGGCTATAGGGTGCCTCCGAATTTTTAGAAAATAATAAAGGAAACCATGAGTTAAAAAAGGTTGAGAACCTCTGGTATAGGGTTTCGATTGTGGTAGGTAAAAAATACAATTTTAAATTAAAATTTGATATAAAAAAATATAAATTTTATATGAGTTTTAAACTGTGTATATATTAATTTAAATAATTTTTAATGTCAAACTAAATTTTTTTTTTTTGTTCTCAGTAAGGTCAGTTGTAGTCCAATTTTATTTTCGGTACATTGTGTCAAATCAATATTAATATGCAACTATTATCCCTGGGTACTGGGATTTTAATGAATTCTAATAATTGATATTCTATCTAAAATCACAAAGAAATTAGGAACCCAAGAAATATTTAAATAATATTTTATTATTCATTAATTTAACCCCAATTATATTACTCATTTCATAATACTTTATATTTTCTTCGCATTGTTATGTTATAAACATTTACTTTCTGTTTTAAAAAACGCGTAGCCCTCCTAGGGAGCCAAAGATGAAAAAAGTAAAAAAATAAATAAATAACAATAATTACCACAACCGTCATATTTTATACCATACCAGTGTAGAGATTTAAAATATTTATTTTATTTTTAAAATACTTAAATTATGTGGGCATTCGATTTATAATCAAATTAATTTTTAAAACGTTATGTTTATAAATATACACGTGAATATATGAATACTAAAGTATTGGGTTTTAAAACTCGTATCCAATAAATTATGATCGAACAATTTTCCTGTGTACGCACGTCGTATCATCGAGACGTTTATATAATGATATTAATAATAAGTTACTTTTATAGCCGATGTTTAACATTTATACACGATATGTGAATACCGTACGGTTTATTACTATCCACCGAATAGTAATAAACCGTCGGGAAAAGTTATAGTTTAACCAGCACCAGCGATTGAATAAACCAAAAAAAAAAAAATGCATAGTCAAGGCATCCAACCCGCCTGACGTAATCAACACGTATGCGCATGCATGTTTCGTTCAGCGGTGGAGTTTTTGGGGAAATAGTCGAGACGAGAAAACCGAAAAACACGTGTTGCAGCTGCAGTGGTCCGCGAACCGAGTCGGAGTCGTCGGCGACCTGCAGTCGAACTCGCTTACGTACACGAACGGAAATCATTGACTTATTCGGAGGGTGTGCAAAATATGTTTTCGTCGCGTACCGCAACAATAATAATAATTAATAACAATAATGTATTACAACCCCCTCCCCCCAATCCGGACTGGTAACACGTACCGACGTGCGCGCGGACACGTAGAAAACGGGTGACAAACGCGATATTTCCGCGAACCACCGGCGGGTAACTGAACCGGCCGCAGCCATCCCTGCACGGTCGTTCGGCCGCATTAAATCAACCTGTCCTTGCGGTGACGGTCGTTCGACGAGCCGGAGGGGATGATTTCGTCCGTCCGTCCGCCGTCGCCGCCGGGGTGCGTTTCCATGGTATTGTATTACGATACACCGTCCACTCGGACCCGAGGAGAAACGTGTGCGTGTTTTGTGCGCGCGTGTAAAACGCCGCGGGGCGAAACCTCAAGCTGTGGCGGCGGCGGCGGCGGCAAACCGGTTCGGCTTTTATGCCCGTTGTCCTAATAAACCCAAACGTCGCCGCGCCCGGTGAAGTGGGTCGGCGGGAGGGGGGGTGGGTGGGGGGAAACTATCGCGCGCGATATCGTAACAACGCGCGAGACCGAACGAGAGCGGCGGCGAGGTCAGTCCGTCAACGTTGTTCTCGCGATCCGGTCGTGTCCGCCGTGTTCCGCGTCACGATCGTCTGCGTCCAAGCATCGCGTTCTCCACGACCAAGTTCAACGAGTTCGACGAAAAAAAAATAAAAACATCCCTCTCGCGCGTACCGTTTTTCCGACCGTGTCTCGACCAGTGCCGCAACGTTACTAACCTATGTGGCTGTACGAATACCGTTGCAAACGTGCGGCCGAACCATCGAAGAAATGACCACCGCGGCGATCCCCAGGCTCAGGGCCGCGCCTCCTCCGTTCCGGTGCAATCGGCTGTTGCTGCTGCTGCTGACCCTCGCCATCGCGTCGTCCCGAGCGTCCGACAGTTGCGACTGGAGCGGAAGGTAAGACATGAGATCATAGTAAGCTTATTGCGATCGTCGACGAACCACGCTCAACCGGTGTCCGTTATCGATAGGTTTATAATTAGTACCCTGTGATTCCCGGATTTCGTTCTCCCGCGGTAGTGTTTTGTCCACGACACAGATAAGAGATAAGATTAGCTGACAAAATGAATTTAATGTTAATGTAAATTAATAATCATAACCATTTTATGTATAGTAGACACGGAAAAACCATTGGGGACGTTTCCCTCTTTTGCCCTCTCCTCCAAATGAACGCCCTTGATCGTGTTTTACGGTCAGGGGATGCACAGTTGTTTACGTGCGTACTCATTCTTTTTTCGCCATTTTTTTTTTTTTTTTTATATGTATAATTCATATTGTATATTGCAGCGAAAACGTGTACTGCACCCGGGTCCTACGGATTATAACATTATTCTAAATCGAAATTTAAATTTTAAAAACAAACGATTGGCAGATATATATAAATTGCCATTTATGTTATGTGTGTAAATTGAACATGATTGTTGGAAAGAAGGCACTGGGCTATCGTAAAATGTCATCCTTGGGCCCTGAGTGCTGAGTAGTTTTTACACCAATAAATCTACCTAAAATTTGTTATGAGATTTTTATTTTTGTACGAACATTATACCAGTGTTAATTTTATTCATAATTTAATTAAAATTTTTCAGTTTAATATTTAGTCGAAAGCTAAAACAAACTGCTTGAAATATATTTTAAACTTAAATTGCTGAACAATCAGTTTTATTTATATTTTATTTGTTATTGATAAATATTCATATACCTATATTTATACAAGTTTTATCATTGATTCTTATCTTTGTTATAGTAAATATATTCGATATTTCAATGTTATGAATATGCGTGCTATTGTAAAGATTAGGAATGAAACAAATCCGTTTGTGTTCATATATCAGCATCTCTATAATATAAATATAAACATAGGGATTTTTATCCAATTCATAGCGTAAAAAAAACGCTATTAAAATAACAAACAGAAATTCTTTTTTTCTTAAAAAAGTTGATAAATAATTAATGATCTATTATTGTTCATTTTAATATATGTAGTCATAAATATTTTTTTACCCTATTATTACTAACAGTTATTATGCTTTTGAAATTATATTTTTAATAAAATATTAAGTATTAAAAATTATAAGTATATTTTAATCTCTAATGCAAATATATTTCTATTTTTGTAACTTATGTGTTTGTTTAATACGCGTTCAATAGTTTAACGGGAATTCTATAGTGATTGAATTCAGTTAACTATTGTAACTTTATTTGACGAATAATTGTTTTTATCTATAAAAACAATTAGGTTTCACTCCATTATTGGACTGTATACATTTTTTTTTATTTCAATTAGGTCACGTGTATAAAACTGGTTACAATAAAGCTCTTAAAACAAGCCGATCTATAGAATACATTCTCCCCCATGTTTTAATTATAACTGACAGTGAAAAAAAACTATACTCATATACGGATAAAATAGTAAACCAGAATAATATAGTTTGCCAAATTCGGTATGAGATTTATCCAGTTGCAATTGTAACCAGTTTTTTTCATAATGTTCAAGACCATTTTCTTTGTCACACACAAAAAAAATATATTTAGTAAATAATGTGCCTGAGCAGGATGGATTTTATCATTGATTCTAAATTAGAAAAAAGTTAACTTGTTAGAAAATAAATTAATATTTACTATTTCGGAACAATAACATCATTTTTTCAACGAATGCTGATTGCCAGTTTTATTCGGACGATTTCGTTCTACTACTGTTTATATTGCGGCTACATGTTTCCATTTATAAATTAACCATATTGGCAAACCATATAAAATATAGAAAATGCACGACTTTCAAATTTCGTGGGAGTCATCATAGTCATTATAAATCAATAACTATGCAAGTTTACAGTAATTAACGAAACTTCCTGTAACTACTGGCTATTGTATAGTTAATATTTACTTTATAGTCATTATTCTTTACTGTTTGGGACACTTGGAGTTCCGGTCAATCAGAGTAACATTGTTATACCTGAAAGAATCCTGCACAATTAACATATACTATTTCATGTCTTTTTAGAATGTTTTATTCATTCTGTATAATAAAAAGTGAGTTGACTAATGTATACATAGTAAAAAATGTATACCTACTTATATTATAATAGTCTATAGGGTAAAAATAGAATATATTTAACATGTATTTTTGGATATATCATTGTAATTATTACAATACAATGTTACATTTAACCTTTTGCAAATGATTCAATGATTCGTGGATATAATTGACCTAGTTATAATATTTTGAATTTTCGCTATAGTAGCCAAAAATTGTATTACAGGATAAGTATTTGCTGTATTGTTGTATATGTCGATAACAAATAATATGATACTGTTATTGTTATGGCGTAATTCTATTGCTGCACCGTTGGCATTTTAGCGATTTTACTTAAGATTACGAACATGAATATAATGATTTAACTATATTTTCATGTAATAATATACTTATTTTTATATGAGTCTCTCGATTAGTTTTAAAGTATAAAATTAATCAAATTAATATAAATTAATTGTATAAGTAAACATTAAAGTTATTTATATTTTTTCATATCATTACAAATAAAAACTTATACATAATATATTAATTTATTTTACTGTTTATGTACTGTATAAAATCAGAATAGAGTATTTTTTTTGAATTCTGACAAATGTTTCAGAACTATTCGGCTATTGGTTCCCACGAAAGCGCACATCATCAATGTGCAATTTCTCTGTTCATAACGTCCCCCACGGCCACCGATTCGTGACGTCGAACTAGAGTTTTGTAATGGGATTAAATAAAAATAATTGTTTCTTTCTATTACTTTCTCTGATTCATGAACAAGACAGATACCGTCTATTTTTATTTTTAATTAAACGCCATGTCACGAAAAAATATAACACGATCCATATTGGATAGCAGTGACAGGAAGCAGATCTTTCAATATTCTATTGAAAAAGAGAAATTATATGCCTATTCTGCACTATGTTTACTATCTAAACATACTCTACTCACTAGTGAGTGGTTTTATTTCTTCGCATTATGTAAGTGAGAAAGCTTGAGAACAATGTGAGACCCATTCCAAGCTTTTAAAATTTAGATTCTGATATTTTGTTAACATTTTTTTCAAATATTGTTAATTGTTTAATACGTAGCACACGATTTCGGAACTAATACAGTTTTAATATTCACGTGAGAATGATAATTCGTACGCTGTATTTATATGTTCTTTATAATGTGTAACAATTTCGTGAGAAGTACAATTTTATGTCGTGACTTATGCGATAGAGTAACCAATTATTTTCAAACGTGCTCTACTCGAAACGTGAATTTTTTTAACACACGTTTCTTTGAAAAAGATTGACTCTTTTCGTACGATGAATGTTTCAAGTTTTGCGTAATTTCTTTCTATAGAATAACAAATATTATATAATAATTTGGAAGTATAAATATCTTCCGTTTTTCATTTGATAACTATCACTGATATCATGAAAATGTATAAATTAAATTCGGTAAAACTTTAAAATATTATGACTCATATGATATGATCATTCACAGAAGTTTAATAATCCTTATTTATTTTTTAGTACTACATTATACTATTAATATTTATGTAATATAATAGTCTTGCGTTTTTTAACATTATACGTGTACGTCAATAATTCTTAGTTTTTTTTTTTTTTTTTATTGATAAAGGTAGATAACTACGCGTAGGAACTTCGTATACACGTTCCATTACTAATACCATTAGTAGAAAGAGAATCGTATGAGATGATTAGTAACTGGCTACCGTTTGTAATCACATATTATGTTGTTGAGATTTCCATTTGCACGATTTCCCCTTCTCATTTTGCTTTTTGTTTTATTTTTGATTACAACACGTTGTGAGGGGACCCGCAGCATGTAAAACGATACGACCCTTTAAATATTGTTTCAACAGAGACCGTTTTTATTTTATGAATATTAGTGAATAACAGGTGGTGACGAACGTCGTGTTAACTTTCATGCACGTGTGTATACGGCTTAAAGTATTATAATATTTTATATAAATGTATATTTACCAACCATTTGATTTGATTATTCAATGGTTTGACCTCTGACGTATATATAAGACAGACTATGGCACTAAGTAAAAATAAATAACGAGATTTTATAATAATTCGTCTGTAACATGATGGCTCTTAGGTATCACGGATTCTCTCTTGGAGATCTAATAATTCCGATCATAATAAAATATCTCAGAAATTAATGGAAACATGTATTTTTATATTAGATCACAGCATGGCTCTAAAACGATAACAATGGATTTCACCTTAGTTCGATTACTTGGCACGTTTTGTAACAAAAATCATTTTCTCTTATACTAACCCTCCAAGGTTTACAGTATTATTACACTGTCTGGATTTGGGGATGATCGCTCAAACGTATCGATCATTCGGGTGCGATTTCTCTTTCCATTGAGTAATTGGTCCCGTTTTCCTACATTTCGAGTGCACGCATTATTATAGTTTATATGAAATTATAGACCTTTTTGCGGATAAATTCTATTATTATAGAGTTTGAGTTTTAAGTTTTTAATAAGTTCAATCGATTACGGGTAATTGCACGTATCATGGCAATAAATAAGAGTATTATTTATTGTGCTCGAGGGTTTGTTTCGTATTTTTAATCTTAGAAGGGAGTGTAAACGTTTTTGGCGCCACAAGTACATGCAATGTTTAACCCAGTTGATCTAAAGGGACACTGGAACATATGGCCGTCAATGGAATCGCAACATATGGTATTGTTTTTGCTGTTATAACTGCGTTATAAGACGGTGGGCGTTTTTTTTGTAAGACCCTTGAAAATTTGTCGCTAATTAAATGGTTTTTGTGACTAGTTAAAAAGTCGTTTTTCTACAAGGACAAAAACATACCGTATTAACTAAAACAGATTCCTGAATGTCTGGCTAATCAGTCCAAATACCACGCAGACAACATACTTATTTTATTAGTTAATGAACTCAAAAAAAGGTCCATTTAATTACAGTACTGATCGCTTGTTTTAATAATTTCTCCTATTGAAGATTTATAAATATATTATTTTTATAAACGTATCTTTTTTTTTAAAACACACCACAAGTTGTTTCGACAAATAAAATGCGAAAGTATCCTAGTTCGTGTTTATATGTAATACAATATTTTTGGCGGTTATTTATTTTTATATTTTTTTCGCTATTATTATTATTTCTCCGATGGTCAGTTTTCCACGGCGGTTAACTCGTCTGAAAAAAATCAACTCACATTTGGTTGGACTTCGCGTGTGTTGCGGCCGAAACACGATACTAACCGTAGTGAACAACTAAAATATAACATCTAATCGCTCGGAAAAACCATTAAGTAACTTGATACGTAAAAGAGTAGTCCACTGTCATAGTCGGTGGATAACAAAATAATAATATATTAAATACGTTTTCGAAATCAGCTTGTAGTAAATAAGAATTACATGACATTTGTATTTTCGTTGACCCGCGAGGGTCCCAGATTCTCTCAATATGTTATCACGCGGTCCATCCATCAAAAACCCTCATCAAAAAAAGGGTAGACATTTGCGTCTAGACGGCCAAAGAAGATAACACAAAATCTTTGTCTGCGTAATAAAGAATCCACCCGCTAAATAATCGCACAACTCAGTCAAAACGCGTTGGCTTGCATTTGCTATGTCATCTGCACCCTCTGACCAATGTTAAATGGTATTGTATATATGTGTGTGTGAGTGTGTATATTTTAAATTCATGGTGGTTATAATATATAAATACCTATATGTATACGGTAAATGAAAATAGTTTTTCGAATCTTCATTGGATTGCACTGGAAAGATAAAAAATAATATGGTATATTTATTTATTAATAATGAATATATACGTGTGACAACGAGACTTGTGAATAGGTTTAAACTGAAATTAGGGTTATATAAATTTGTCTCAGTATAGTTTCTGTTTTTGTTGTTGCTGCTGTCTTCGAGATGCAACTAGCCGAGAAATCACAGGAGAGATGTAAGAGATGTATAAGTACGATAATAGTGTGTCGCGGTCATTTGTAGTGATTAACATTTTGATTCTACTATTTTCTTCATTCCGATTCCATGGACTTCTGTTGCGAGTGGCTCTGACACGTCGTTTACAAGTGACTACCACCGGTAATAAACATCGGTGAAAACGGTGAGAACTGACGGCGAATATGTGTGATAGTCTATTGTAAGGAATCTAGAGTTTTTTTCCCATAGAAAAGGTTGATAATACGATTTTAATATCTTCGACGTTTATTTATGTAATATACGTGTAGTGATAAACCATCATGGTACTGTATTATATATTTTCACAGCTCTATTGTCTATTAGTTGTCGACCGAAGTACATAATTGTTATAACATCAACGAAGATTAATAATACGGTTGAGAAATAATATATAACAGGTACGAGTAAACGAGTTAATACTCCTCAAGTATTTTACGTATTTCTTTGTCGGAGACTTAGTCTATTTAGTCGTGTTAACTCCGTGAACATCATCACATACTTTAGCTTCAAAATTAGTGTTTTTAGTAATTCACTAGATTCCGGGCTGAATTGTCAACGCGAATAGTTTTATTTTTTTTTAATCAGATTAATACAGAATCTATTTTTATTCTCACAGTACAAAAAGCATGGAAAACTAATCGTCTTTGAATTCAGATTGTAAGCATTATTTGCTGTTTCGTAGATTTCATTATAAATAAACTTGATTCTTAAACGTTATTATTCATCGTCTGTAGCATGAATTGTATGGAAATTTGGAGGTATTTTCACAATAGACGTTTTGTAACGATGTCATATACGTTCTTGATGTACATTATTACGGTTTTATACTAATTAAATGGCCTTTAACAAAAAGCGTAATTCAATGGCGATCGAGTCATAAGAGCCATTATCATCGACGTCAGCAACGGGCATTGTGTACTGTACTACCTGTTGAAAAAAACCCCAAACAAACTACATTATAATGTATGGCAGGGGGACATATGCCAGCTGACACTCCAGCTCTCCTGACCCTCGTGGGCCGGTTTCACTAAACCCCGACGGGACAGAATTACCACGCACTGACCGTGTTATTATTTTCTTTGTGACCATAAAAATATTTATAAAAAAAAAAAGTTCTTATTTTTTTTAAATAATGTATCTCGGGTAAAAAGCAACATGTATGTACAACAATAACGAAAATAAGAGGGAAAAAGAAACGAAAAAGCATCCGCTGTCAATGAATACGAAAATCAATTACTCGGGTCGAAATATTATTACTCTCAAGTGACAAAATTAATTATGGTGTACGTACAAAACGTACGCATTGACTCTTCTGTCGTGTTACCATTTATCACGCGGAGCCAGTCAAAAATAAGCACTCGTCAACGGGGCACTTATTATATTGTACGCCGGCCGGACGATATTGTGTTCCTCATAACCATCATCAATCCACGATGAATGCGCACGCAGAGGGATAATAATCGGAACTTGGCAGCCGATGTAAACTTGTCTTCCCCGGTGGTCGCTTTTCGTCGTCGATCATTTAATATCATTACCGTCGGCGCGAATTCCTACAAGAAAGCCATTATAATTACATAGGTCTGCGAGGAGTCTTCCTGTACACGTATAATAACCAATATTTTATACCACATAATATTTGACTCGGTTCTTGAGATATTTCGCTCGATATTTTATATTATACTCGGATACAATGCTCAACATCGTATATAATATGTTATGATTTGATGCGATTTCGAAAATATCTATCGATACGAAGACACAGATCATTAGAGTCGAAGTCATTTATCATTATTTCATTTCAAGGTTATATTTTTTTTCGAGCTGTATATGCGCCCGACGATTATTATTATTCTTACCCTCCGCTACTTCTCGTATCCACCTACATTTATCAGAAGACAAGACGTCGAAACAATAATAAGTAACGACCACCGTGTTTAAGACATAAATCATCGAATTAATCCGTTTCGGGTAGTAAAAATGGTCGTTTCCATCGAATAATATGTCTATTTTATCGTTGACGCATTAACATTACGCCTCGTCGATGTTTAATTCTCGGTAAGGGTTGATCTCTCTAATTCATCTCTAATAAGCGTACACATTCGGGGGAAGGGGGGCGATTACAATCTACCCGATGCGTTTAAAACGATTTAACACGTTGATTTTACTGACGACACGTGTTGAAATCTGGTAGAATAATTTTTATACATGAATATAGATTATCGATAATTTATTCGGATCGTTTATAGTTCAAACGAAAATATAATAGAACGAAGTTACAGGTTTTGTGTATTAGCTCGATTTGCATAAAGCATAATATCAGAACTCGAATACCACACAGTGAATGTTATTTGTGGTGACTGCCGTGTAAACGCGTTTCTTGCCGCCGCAATATAATGTACTGCAGTAGCCCAGGGAAACTATAATCAAATTTACATTTCGTCAGTAGAAATTCCCGAGGGCATCGGTATAGAATACCGCGTGCAGGATGTTTTCGGACCGTCGACTTCGGATCAACGCTATTTGCTGGTGGCTCTACGGCTACCGAGCTTCATTTTCTGTTTTCATATCAAAAACAAAGGGGGTTCTAGTTGCGATTATTGCGTTGCGTAAACAATCATATCGTTCTGTACAATATAATATGAAATTAAAATGTCCCGCTTCCTAATTATTATTATTTTTTTTATTTTTTTTTATCAAACATAAAAACATCGGCTACTAGACCATTAATTATTGAATTACATTTAAATTTTTTTCAAATTTTATCATTTAATTTCCCAATTACTGTTATAATATATTATATATTATCTTTAGTTTATATCGGTGTATCGTGTATTGAAATTAAAACGCTAATAATCCGTACGCCTGTAAAAACCGATTACAACTTAATGAATGTATTACTTCCAACGTTGAACGTTACTATCCAACGGGTTCTTACAATTTGCATAGTTGTTGATTTGTTAATCACCGTACAGAAGATAGGTGAGCGTGTCACAAGTCGAAAGTAAACACGATTATTATTTTTAGATTTCTATGAAAATCGTTTACGAGATCGAACAGGTCCGATTAGAAATTACCATATTAAATGTCAACGAGACAAATACGTATATTCTAATTTTTCGTAAAATCTCGTACGTAAACCGTTCGCTTATTGTATTTACTTGTTGTCATTAGCACTAGTGTATCTAATGCAGTGTTTTTTTTTTTTTTTTTTGTTACCATTTCAGCGGCCTCATTGACTCATCGGAACACTCGGTGCGGCCCGTCCGACTGGACAAGTGTTGGGCGGGTAAGGTGCGGTGGTTGTATCCGCGCGGCGCGCTCAGGGTGGTGTTCCGGTTGACCGGCGCCAACGGTGGCCGCGAATTTCGCGTGTGCCTCAAACCGGACAGGCTGGACGGCGTGCGCGTACTGCTGGACAGCGCGCCGCGACGCCTGATCGCCGTGTACGATTACCAGTCGGCCGATGGGCCGGCCGCGCCCTTGCGGTCCCGGTGCTTCAAGAGCGTCGGCGGCACGGCCGCGTTCTACGTGGAAGCGGACAAGACGAGCGATCGGTCCGGTCCCGTCAGGTTCCGCTACGATCTCGAACCCCTCGCCACGCCGGTGCCCGAACTGTTCGTGGCCGACAACCTCGACGACGGTGAGTACCGCTTACATTGAAATCGTGTTCAAACTGTGTACGCGATCCGTTTTACGGCACTTTGTACAGTTATAGCTTATATTATTATGAGATCTAAGATTCAAAGGGTTAGTAGGAGGCTAAAAAATAATTGTATTCTTAGACTTTCAGTAAAAACAAGTGAACAAGGAGCGCTTTAATAAATCTTCCGTCTTTTAAATATTTGGCATCTCATAGGAGCGTACCCAGAAATTTTTTACGAGGGGGGGGGAATCTAAAATTTTTAATTTATCTGTTCTCTAATTATAACTATAGTTTAACTCAATACCAACAAATTACTGTTAATCTACTATAGTATGGTTTTTACATTATAGATATATTATATGATCTATAAACCTTGTATATCGAAGATAATGGGAAATTAAAATACGCTATATACTATTATTATACTATTTACTATAAAACCGTTAAGTATGTAGAAATTCAATGAGAGGGGTCTGGGCCTGAACCCCCCCCCCCTTAGGTACACCCTTGGCACCTCACACACATGATTATACTCCTCCGCCTATTGAGATAAATCCGTCTCCAAATATAGACTGTTTTTATTGTTTTTTTTTTACATGAATAGTTTTTTTAAATATAAACAAATATTATTTACAGATAATATATACAGATTTTAAACATCAGCAAGATAGGAAATTCGTATTAAAACAACTCTTGGCTATAGTAGAACCCCCTTCCTCAATACTTAATGTTTTCATCTATGATTGCCATATATTTTATCTGATGCCTAAAATGTAACAACGTGCCGGATTCGTTTCATTTATACGAATAAATTATAAGACAACAATAATAAGAATAAACAACAGGATGATCGAAAATCTGGGTGTCTCAAAGTGTTAGTAAAAATCTTATAGAAAATAAAAACAAATTTAGAACAAAAGCATCTCTAATTACGTACAATTTTACTGTCATTATAATATTTTTGTACATTTTATTTTCCCTATTCTTTTTTGGTTTTTTTTTTCAATCATTATGAATAGTCGAAATTATAATAATTCAGTTCAGCACCAATACATTTAGTAATTGTTTTCTGTGTTTAAAATAATTGAATTGTCCATTTTAGTCATTATTTTAATACGGTTTCAGCGAAATGAAAACGTACAAACTACTAGACAAAATTCAGAGCTATTTTCCACTACGTTTATGATAGTAAAACTATTATTCTTACCTATTGTTTTACTTTTATAGTTAAATTAATATTATTATATTGATTTAATATATTACTTATTTTACGATTTATATATAAATTTAATTTTTCCATGATTACATTAAAAATGTGTACTTATCTACTGAACTTTGAATGATTAATTAATTTAAATTTGGTCCACACAAACATTGTTAACACAACATCATCAGAACACTGGTTTTTTTCTTACTAAAATTGTATGTAAAAGATAATTTATATTATGATATACAATAAAATTAAATTAATTTACCACAATATTCTCTGCGAACTCAAAAATTAACCATGCAAAGTTTAATACTTATATTACATAGTTATAAATTTATTTTTTTAAAACGAACACCTGTTTGAAATAATATCACAAATCGTATATTAAACTACTATGAACATTTATAAATTTTCTAAAACTCTTGTATAACCTTTTGTTACTTAATTAATATTGGCAATCAAAAATAAAACAATTTGAACTTGTTTAACAAAACTCGTTTCCTACGTATTAAAAATATTAATATAACCCAAATACGAATGTATCTTGTAAAATATTAATTATAATTGATCAAATTACATTTTCTTGAACGCTTATATTTTCTGTTCGGAATCATCGAATGAACTATCAACACTTTACACTTCCATTATATTTTTACTTGTTTAGTACTTGGTAGTTTTTTTTTTTTTACCTGATGGGCGTGACATGGCGGTAAAATGATTTTACATCAAGACAGTTTTTATCGACAGACGATTTGAATTGAGATTATTCCCGATGCATTTCGACAGATCGTGTCCAGTACAGCGAACGTTAGTGTTGGTGATTACAGTAGTATTTTAAATTTCGACGTGTAGACGAATACGTACATGTCGAGTGTACGAAATATTAAAACAATATTTTCCAATAGACTTTATCTGTTACGGTTGTGTCGTTTGGACAGCTAGGACTAAAGTGCATCACAATAACTCTGCGTGTCCGCATCATTGTTCGATGTGCATTAAAAATATTCATTCGTACGCGTTTTTCCTATGTCGGGCGCACACGTGTTTTGGATCTACAACGAGCAATAACAATGATTATATAACACGCGGTGCGGCTTATTGCAGATTACACAGAACGAGGTTAAAATTAGGCAGGTGCCCCAGACGACCCAGTATTGTTCATCGGAATAATCATTGACCCTAATTTTCTTTACTTCATTAGAAACAATAGAAAATCAACATCACAATGCCTATTTTAGTCTTTGAATCTTCAACCTTCGCATGTTGAATATATTGAATATTCAGTACAGGACACCGCGTATTGTACATTTTCTATACTAGGTATGTCGGAGTATTTTAAATCTCGAGATTACTGAAGTATAAATTGTTTTTTAGAAAAAGTATTTTTTTAAACTTCCAGAGTGTAAATATTATTTTACATGTTTTATTCTCGACTAGACCTGTGCGAAACGTGTACACACGATTTTAATGACAATAAAAACGTACTATTTTTTTTTTACAGAGTAGGTACCTATGTTTATAAATTCTCGATTATAAAAATAATAAATTTCGAAATGATTTTGCTTTTTATAACTAAGTAAAAAGTTGACTGCAAACAGTGGACGCGACTGCGGTATATTACATCCTCGATATTATCATATTTTTTCTGGTTTTGTACTACGGTATATTATCTTTAATGCGGATTTATCCTACGTTCAGTCAGCATATTACCAAAGTCCTCGATGGTAGTCTCGAAAAAAGAGACTGACCATAAATTTAATGAAGATAAAAAAAACGCATATACTCATACGCATCGTTGAAAAAGACCGGTTTCGCCTACATTAACAAAGTACACACTATATACACTTTTATTTCTTTTATATGCTTTTTTATTTTATTACATAGTTATTATTTATTATCACCATAAACAATGGGAGATGGCAACTCACTAATGGTGATTTTTATTTCAAAAGTTGTAGGATGTTTAACATAAATTGCTATTTTTATGTATAGGGCTCCTTGTAGCAGACGTATGTTCCAAGCTATTGAATTTTAACATCTCGAGCTGTAAATAACGATTTGTTGTGTAGATTTTTGGCCTCTAACTTACTGTGATCTAGACAACTGCAAAGAAATTATAGCCAAAGAGTTAAATCATATGATTATATGTTAATCTAAAAAAAAATACACATTACACAGTAGTTGTACCTACATTTGTTTTTTCTCTTTGTATAATATTGTGAATTATATATATATTAGTTTTTTTTTTATCATCTAATACGATTTTAATTATATTTTTTATTTTATTTTGTTTCAGAATGTCGACCATGTACTGTAGAGGAAATGACACAAGCTTACTGCACGAGTAGCTTAGGTGAGTCTCGTATTGAATGTATATATACTTGAAATATGCCCGTTTTAAATCTTCATGGTCGGTTGAATACTCCAAAACCAATGATCTTGTTACAATTTTCTCGGTAACATAATCGTAATTAATTCCGTAAAACTTAATCGGATGGTCAATGATTCTATTATTCGGTCGATGTTTTAAAACAAATTATCTGTAATGTGTAATTTTCACAAGTGATAATATCGTATCAATATTCAGTATTTTAAGTATATACATTGACAATGGAATGATTTACATTATTAGTTTTCTTTTCAAATTATACTACCCACATGAGACCATTGTTGTCTTTAAATTACTGCCTCGGTGCTATTTTTAGGAATAAAGAGAGTTCTTTTAATTATCGAATAACGATATACGATATACGTGTTACCGCGGTATCTCCTGATAAACAATACGAACAGTCGAAAGTGAGTGTGGGAAACATACGTGTTTGCGTAGGTAAATATATATGATAATCATAATTTTATATGGTACACAATAGCTGCGACGATAATATGTATATGTTATAGGTAGGTACGTTGTACTTCTTGGGTTTCTAAATTAAATAATAAATATATTCTACTAACACATACATTTGCGTCTAAAAAGCACATGTTTTAATTACTGCTCAAATTATATGTTATACCGTGCGGACGCGTTCATGTGGGGCTCGAATGTCACGAAATTGATATTGTGGTTAGAACTCATGTACTAGCATAGGAGTGTGCGTCCGAACCTGAATAAGTTACTCAATTTTATTTGGTAACTGAATAAGTTCCAGTTACTAATCAACTATATATTACCTCGGCTTAGTTACTTATAAAAGTTGCATATTACTTTACAAAACAAGTTATAAGTTAAACATTATTCGTTAAGTTGTGTAGGAAGTAGTGATTAGGTTGAAAATTGCTTTTTAAATTTCTTTATTTTTCTTGTTGTTATTGTATTCAATTTTATATGTTAAAATTGTCACTGTATAACTAATGTAGCAAAGTGAATTATTACGAGTATTATTTACCAAGATAAACTTATAGGTATTCTAAATATTTCATCCTGAAAACATTATTCTTACCCCTTCCTTCTCAATTGCTCCCCGAGAATAAACCAGATTTAAGTAGCATATTTATTTTTATTTTTTTTGTAACTCATAAGTTATGTATAATTACTGTCCAACCTTTGGCTCGATTTTCTGGAAGAAAACGTACGAAATTAAATATAAATTTCCTTTTTTTTTTTTTTTTGATATTACAGTGGTACAAGGCACCATAGTAGGCGTGTCTTACGACGGAGACGTATCGCGTGTTCGCGTGATGCCCACCAAAGCACACCGCCTGCCACCCGAAGAAGACGACCGCGTGCAGGAAGAAGGACGTTACGAAAAGCCGATGACGATCACTTTTGGCAGGGGCTGTAGACCCGCGGTCGGTCCCGGCGAGTTTGTGTTCATGGCAAGGACCAAATTTGACGAATTGGCCCTGCGTTGCGCGCCTAGGCTGGAGGAATGGAGGCAAGCCATCAAGGCGGACAAGGCGCCCGGGTGCATCCTGGCCAGTTAACCGCTAGTGTGTGAATGTGTACCTAGATACTGTTACAGGGTTACCAAAACCGTTGTTGAATTAAGTTGTTTATATAATATACACCTAAGTCATATATTTAAACATTAAAGTATAGCCAAATAGCTTTTGTAAGAATCGTTTGGAGACAGTGGAGGTCGCGGAGGGAATGTGCAGTACGTTTGTACGGGGAATTTGTTTTTCGTACTTCTAAAATACATTTGACCATGTACACTTCGTCTTGTACAAGGTTTTTCAGAAATTCTGTTGTGGTTGGGAAAAAAATTAAATTAGATAATTTTCTTGGCGTTGAAAGATTCATGGCTGTGATCTGAATCGTTATCTTAAGGCAACGAGGAAAAAAATATGAATGCGTATAAATACTCACGTGGTATTAACATAAAAACTCGATGTTAAGTCGTCTATATCTGTGTGTGTAGGAGAGAGAATGCTGTACATAATAATTTCCTACCGACGGTAGCTTCTGCATTGCTACACATATTTTATGTAATAATAATAATAATAATAGATGATGATTGTTAGCTTGAAGATATTAATGCTCGATGGGGCGATGGACCAAGGACGTGTATATAAATCCATTTCTCTGCCTATATAGAAATCGGTTTAAATCCTAGCATGTGTATGAATATATATATACCATACACGTTTTATTGACACTTTTTTCGAATAATTTTTCCATTAGATTATTTGTAGCTTGTCTAATTCGTTTACTAAGGCTAATCGTGCCGAATGCGTTTTTTCTCCCATGTAGCGGATGTCACGTATTTCGCCCAACATCAAAATCAAAAAGTTATTTTACTCCCATTCAACCTCCTCTACGAATGCTTTACAATTTATATCTTATTATATGTGAATCTATGTGCCAAACGTTAAAAATTAAAACAGGATTTTTTTTTTCATTTATCATATTTATTTATTTTTTTCGTAGCTTACATTTACATTGTAATGATATTATTTAGCTTTTTTATTCGATTTTATAACTTTACTTTTCTTAACAAAAATAATTTAATTCCAACGAGCTTCGTATCGTTAAGTAAAATGTTAAAAAATTAATACTATAATATTATGTTTTGTTAGGATTATTATTTTATTGTTATGTTTTTTAATTGTAAAATCTCATATTTGTGAATACTTTTTTTTTTGTTTATCTATAAATATATTATGTTATATAGATACTAAAATGTATTATGATCTCAGCTTTTTTTAAATAATATGTAATGAATAAAAACTTGTAATTAATTTGACAATTAATATTGAAAATATATTCGTGTTATCAGTTGATATTTTACGTACGTTTGTTTACCCACTAACTCCTTCGCCGTGAACGCGAATAGCGTATTATTATTGTTACGCGCCTATCACGTGGCGTATCGCACGTACTGAATTGTCTATGGATCAAAAATGATACGCTATGATTCGATCGACGAAAAGAAATCCGTAATCTGGAAAACTACCGCGGAACTCGTTTGAATCGATTCGCGGGATTCTTGACGGAGTCGGATCACGGAATTCGGACGCACAGCAGGGGCAGATTTAAGGGGGTGGCTCTCTTGGGACTGAGCTAACTATTTTACAAAGCCAAGAATTATGATATATTGATACATTAATAATTATTATAAAATATCGTCAATCGTCATTGATGAATATGGTACTTTATATATTTTTTTTAAAAATAAATAGCTCATTTTTTGTTGTTAATTACATGTGTGTACCTATATTTTTAAAATAGTTTCAGATTAAAATTGATAAAATAATGTAAAAATATTTAAAATTTGTTACTGTTGTGAAAAAAATGACTTACTTATATAAGGGACTCAAAAACATATTCGGTAATTTAAAATTGTATATAGATTTAAAAAACAACTAAATTCTTGAACTAAATTCTAAAATCAATACCCCATCCCTTGGTGAGTGATAAAACCTGCCCCTGACGCGCACGTTCGTTTTAATGGCGGAACGGGCGTTTGCGAACGTTAAGCGTTTCAGGCTTCGGGAACGCTTTCGTAACGACGCGATCGAGGAACGTGCGCCGTGCATCGGCTTTTGTCGACGAGCCCGGAAAACGTTTGACGTCCATTCAGACAGGGGCGTATTTACATTTACTTCTAGGGGGTGGGGCGACTCAAATTTTTTCTTAAATTCAGGTTCAAAATTTATAAGTAAAATTGATAATATTTAAATCAGGTGAATCTTTAATATTTGTGTTTTTTTTTTTTTTTTAATCCAATATCGGATTAGAATCGACTTTTTTGTAGTTCTCATTTAACACCTGTCTGTGTTTTGAAAGTTACGCTTGGGTTTTATTTGATTTCTCACTAAGTATGGACCCGACAAAAAGCACAATCCAGTATTTACAGCCACGCGTAATTTGATTTCGTTATAAAATGATACGCATTAAAAAAAATTTGAAATGTGTATTTCACATATAGTCAATTTCTAAAATACGGATTCAGGAGGAGGATCGCCCCTTGCCCTCCCTATAAAATACGGCCACGGTTCGGGAATAATAATATCAATCGTTTCAGAAGGCCCCGTAGAGGTAACCGTCGACGCCACCTGAACGGAGAACGCGTGCGACGTGTTTCCAACGCGGAAAAAAAACATTAGAATTATAATAGAAAAAACGTAATATTAGACGTCGGTCCTGGGCACCGTAATTGGCCGATTTTTAACGGCTCCGGTTGCCGTTCCGCGCACTGTTGTTTACATCCGTCGGGATAAGATAAACGCGAATCGCGCGTGACTTATCCGGAAGTCAGATCGCACGTCGTACGGACCGGCCGCAGTAGCTATCGTCAGCAAACGGACGTGCACGTGTTGCGCTGCGATACGAGTGCGGACATTAATCGCGTTCGTGCGCAATGCGCACCAAAAGGGACGTCGTTGAACAACGGCGAACGATCACGTGCGATACGTTAGCGCGTGAACGTCTCGTTCGGGATTCGTGGTAAATATGCTCGTCGAACGGTCGAATGGCAAGGCCGGATTAACCACCTATTGGGCCCCGGGGCTGAACATTTATATGGGCCCTTTTGACAAAACATGTCTTATGCTCGTTACACTCGCAGAACATTACATTTTTTTAATTATTTGAACCATGGATTCCGATGAACTAAACAGTCTCATGTATGAGAACAGGTGTTTGTGGAATATTAAAAATAACATTTTAAAACCTACTTGATCGTCTTTTCTAGAAAATAACTTGTTGTCGTGCATTGATTTTCCACCATTTAATAACAATAACTTCATTAACGGACTTTTAAGAAAATACAATTCATCAAGTTTGTCCATCTTTGCTGGATGGCAAAAACGTAATGACTATCAGAATATCAGAAAACGCGAACAGAGTAACCGCTTTGTTCTGACGAGCATTTCAAACGTACTCATCAGAACAAATTTTCGTCAGAACTCGCAAATATAGTAACCGTAGCCTTGATGAACAACGGCAATGAGATGATTTACCGAAAACATATTACCAATATAACATAATTATATTATTTATATTTCTAATGAGTTGATTTAAAAACTTCAACAAAATGTGGACAACAAACTGTATAATGTACCGTTCACCCTCAAGTACCGTTTCACATGCCCCAATATGGCCAATAAACAAACGAACAGCATAAATAATCTGGGAGGACTGAAATATCCCATCACACCCCCTATTTATGTCCTTTTAAATTCTAAAAAAGTTCAACGTACACGTATGTATGTATATTTTTATTTTGATAAGTGTGACGTTCTAGCGATATCTAATTTAATGTGTAGTAAAATAATATTTTTATTTACAGTACATTGTAGTATGTATAACTAATATCAACGGAGATAAATATTTCAAAATCATCTGTTGTTGAAAGCTATAAGGACTTAAACGTACAATTATCGATTAAGTAAAAAATGATCAAGTTTTATTGTGTTTATTTATTTTTACGCGAAAAACAAAATCATACGATAAATAACAATTTATTTTTTGAAATTATTATTTATAACGCTGTTTCGCGAAATTATAAACACCGATCCGTTTTCGGTCGATTAAGTCTCTGTGTACAATGTTCCAAATAATAATCTTACGTATTGCCAACAATTCATGAATACGTACGTGGACAATTTTCATAACCGTAATACACGAGTATACGTATTTATACGTATTTTATTTTTTAACCATATTCTTGTTGCTTGTTTGGCGAAGAGAGCAACAAATAAACAATATTAAATCGGCCTAAGAACTATAAACGCACGGTTCCACTACTGCGGTTATAATCGTTTTCGCGCCATCCCGAGGATACGCGTAACTGCACGCCGTTGCGACGGAACAGTCGAGTCACTGGGGAGAGAGTGTTGAACGGCAGCTCCTGAGCCGATACCATCAGAAACACTTGTTTTGCCTTCGCAAGACCAAGGGCAACACAATGTGCGTATTACATAACGTATGGGTGGTATACGCATTGTATACCGGGGGCACATGTGATGCCGGGGGACAATAGAGCGCGCGCGGTCGAGCGAAAGAAGAAGGATAAGATAAAAGGACGAAATCGAAAAAAAAAATAACAACAATAATAATAATAATAATGGAATAAAGGTACGAATTGAAATCCGGCCATAAATCAGTGAAGCCACTGCTGCGGTGCCCCCGCGGACCGTCGCGACGACGACGAGAGAGGTATGCCGGTCTCATTAAGGTTCGATTTTATTTAGAACACGCGCCGCCGCCGCCGTAGCCATCGCTCGCGCGCGGGACGTCCTCTAATTAGCGGCGCGCGAGCGACTCGTTTCAACATTCCCCGCGCCCGCTCACGGCGAACCCGTTTGTCCACCGCCGCCGCCGCCGCCGACAACCGAAAAGACGCCGTGTCATCGGATATCCCCCCCC